CATCGTCGCACTCCCCGCGAATGGATCAGGTATCGAACACCCCCCGGGACCACCACCGGTGCCATGGACTGCGACGGGACGGTGCTGAACGGGGCAAGAGTGTACATGCAGCTTTATGTTCCTTTTGCACTCGTAATGAAACATGTTGCTAGGACGATTCCATGTTCCTCAAACTCTACTGGAAAGTCTTCTAAATACATTGTATATCCGCTGAACAAATCGAAATTAGTCGCCTCAAAGGGACATTGTTTTATTCAGCGGTATATAGCAAGCATAGTTGCGAAATATTGATGCCGCGAAAATGACATATGAATGATATGATAGTCGCGACTTTTCCTTGAGTGGCAACAGCGGGATTGCCAGATGCCACGGGCAAATGCTCGCCATTTGGTAGCCGTGACCGCAGACTTTATGACCTGTATAACAAGCCCGTCATCGGTACGTGTTCTTCATCCGTTTTATGTTGTAACGTTCATCGACCATGTGAATCACATCTTATTCGAAAGATGGACTGGCTGCGAAACCCGCGAGGCCTTCCCCGGCGTGTTTGTCAATTCCTGCTTCTGCCTACCAACCGCGTACATTCGGTTTTTTTCACTTGCCTTCGTGACCTTATCTTTGTCATGCCCATCCAGGATCCACGTCTTCTTAAACATTCGCCGCAAACGGCTACATGGTCAACAATGATGGCATGACGCTTTCAGGATCCTGACCTTGCGTAGCTATCGGGGCAAGTCTTGATCTTCTTGGGTCCACGCCACCGCCTCGGTGGTCGGCAACCATTATCAGCGTTCCAGCGACTGCTTCGAAGTCACGCTCCGTTTTGGGACCACTCCACACTCTGCGGCCCGAAACCTCCTGCGTCGCATCTGCCCCAGGGCCATTTGGCCGTGACACATGAGTGCACCAGTTCCATATGAGGCAATTTCATTTGTAAAAATCGTACGAGCCGACCAGATAGAAGCACCGGCTGAGACAAAGCCAAAGCCTAAGGCCAGATCACGTAATGGAGCGGTCACATGCCCGGCCAACAACCGCACGCATCAGATGGCACCACCGCAGCCCCACAGTCCCAGTTTCTGAATTGGATAACGCAAAACTGGCGAAAAGGTCGGGGGAATCAGCCCTCGCGATACAATCCCTTAGACTCGAGACTTACACTTAGACTTAGGCTTGCAAGCGCAATGCACTCGACCATGCACTGAACCTTAGCTCGATAACCTCAAGAGCAAAGACGAGGTCACGGCGCACCGCCATGCGATCAATGACACCAGCAACTTAACTGAGGCAGCCGCCACGGAGTGACATCACCATCGACCCACTGGCGGGCACGGCGCACCTGGGCCGGGTCAGCCTGGAGCAAGCTACCGCACGGTCCGTGATCGTGACGTCACACAGCGCGGTAATCAAGAAAACAGGACGGCGATAGCTGGCACATGCTGGCGCGGCTGACAGGAACGAAATGAAAGGAGGCAGGACACGGAGCAATGTTCAGCGAGAACGTGGTATTGCGCGTGCCCAGTGCGCTCATGTCATTTGGAGCCACGTGGTAAGTACGCCGTGGGACAGGTTTTCAGATTGCCCGATCCATTTTATTGAGCGCCGGGCCGGCACTCAACTTAATGGTTATGCAGAAGAAAAAATGTTACGAATGTCAAAGATGGCGGGGCAGATATAACATAAGCCTTTCATCTAAGACTCCCGTAAGCTCAGTTTTTCAACATTTCCCAAAATTTGCAACCATATTAAATGGAGCGTTACACAGTTGGGGCACTTTTCATAAACAAACTCAAATGCCCTCCAGACCAGTTAGTCTAGTAAAAACACTGGGTAGTGGCACTGCAGTACCCGCAAGACATAGCAATGATATCAATCTCAATTATCTTCAAGTCCAAATTATGCTGTCAACGCTCTGTGACAGCACTACGCGTCTTCCCTACAGTCGCGACCACCGTCGTAATTATGATCCACCGCGCGATGCGCACGCCATGCGATGGGCAGATACAGGGCAAACAACGTGCATGATGGCACTAAGGTTTAACCCTAGCACGATGGATGGTGCAAGCCGCCGCATTTCAATACGTATGTTAACGTCTGGCAGAAATCAGGGCATGACGTGGTGACAGCGTAGCTAGCTTTGTGGTGACCAATAATCATTAATTTGACAATTCTAGCTCAGTCGCATATCTGCACGAACGTAAAACTGCGAAAGCATGTTTTCCAGTGTGATGCAATCTGCTTTTTTTCTTAGAAAATGTGATCACCGAAACAAGTTCCAAACCTCTTTGTTTCACATGTCCTGGATATGTGCACTAGATCCCAGTTCATAAATGACGCGTGTCACACCAATGCAATAGTTTTGCCAATAGTACACCAATGACATATTATCTTGTCGATAGCGTTGGGCGTTATACGCCTGCCCACCACATCTGGTTCGGGTGTGCCCGGCCCGCACTTGACCCTACCCCCATGCCCCGCCTGACCGACGAGTCCCCCCCCCCCCCGCATGAGGTGGGTAGGTGCACAATGCGCGGCACTGGGACACGACAAACACAGCTTTGAAACTTTTATTGGCGTCCATAGCAGATAAGTTATAATACCACATTCGAAGAAATATAACAATTGTCGTTTAGGCAGTATAACGGTGCGAAACTTAAACAACAGGTTTTAAAAGTTTTAGGAGTAATTTTCTAATCACACGACTCACATGAGCGATTTTCTGCTTAAAATTTAAACGCATGCTTGTTGAATGTCTGCGTTGATTAAATTACTATTGGCTGGCTATAAGCAAGCCCATGCATGTATCGCCAGTTCTGATGTCAGATCTCTTCCTACCAACTCAATGAAACTAAAAAAATCGGTAGCATGTTTGACGCAGACGTAACAAAACAAATTCCTCTATCCTGATGTATTTCCTAATACGCACGCGGTGCGATACGTACCTAAACATGGTCCACAATGAAAGATGATTTAATAAAATGATCCCCAAAGCCCGTCTGCTCCATGCAGCGCCGACGCAAACAATGATGGCGCAACCAGCACCCAACACCCTCGACCGATCCGCGCCGCTAATTGCCAGGCTCCAGCATTACCTTCTAATCTGCGTAAATTACAAGCATGGACTGGAAAGAAAAAAACTTAAAAATCGCCGTTTCGCACGATTAGCTTCTTCTTAGTTCGACACACGTGATCTACTTATCAACAGCTATTTGTCGCCAAAGACCCAACTAAAACATGGGTTTCATCATAACTTTTGCCACACCCGTCCTAATGGCATCCATCCTGTCACATTGTGCCTGAATGTTGTTCCGTCTAGCGTCTGCCCATCTCATGAGATCTTGCACCGTCCACTTGTCGCCGTCGTAACGCAGGAGAACTTTGTTCAGAGCCGAGGCTCATTTCTATCGAAATCGTCTAGAACGCAACAATAAGCGTCAGGTAATAATCATACCTGTATGTAAAAATACGTGGTTAACAGTGAGCATGCGTAAAAAAGCGGTTAGTAATGATCATACATGGTCGTCATAAGTAAGCAGCATTGTAGGATGCTTTGACCCGATGAGACTTTTGGTTATGCTATCGTTATTCTTCATACTCATACACGATCCATTCGACTTTGGCATCCGTGTTGATTTCGTCCGTGCACCGTCATACTGACGGCGCTTCTAGTTCTTTGGAACCCTTAGTCCATGTTGAGCTCGCGACCATATAGTGCACTTTTCCGCTAGGTATGCCCCTGCCCCCCTTCCCAGATTGAAAAGTGTCGAATTCGGGGAAAAACAGCTTTTGTAGCATTTTGGGTTCGGCTTAGCCTTTCTCCCCGTTCTATCCGCAACTCCTTGGAACCAGGCAACATCCGTTGCATTTCAACCGCCTGGAGGCCACACCAAGCCTGCTGCCACTGCCGGTCACATATTGGGCCCTCGGGTGTTCTACGCCTTCCTGGTCGTAGCGATCTCTTGTTTTCCGTTTCATGAACTCTCGGTGTCTGGTGCCTTCGGCGGTTTCGCAGTCGCCCATCAGACGTGACGTTCTTCCGTCTCAGAGGAACTTCGACCGTCACGACCGCGGTCAGTCTTCGTGTCCGTTGAGATCTTGGCAGCCATCTTCATCCTGCATAATCCCAACAAATCCCTGGTAATTTAAGAGGCTTGTTGGGCTGAAGACGTTTGGCCCGTGAACCTGCGTCGATTTTCCTGGCACTAAAATCAGTCCACGCCCTGGCGGCCTTGGCATTCCGCGAACGTCCCACTCCATCAGGCGTCATTGTATATACTTGTTAAAGTAAACAACCCGCGTCTGATGGCCGAATGGCGACCGCGCACCATCGCGACGCCAGTTGTGACGCAGGGACGATTGTTCCGCAGTGCTGGCCAAAGCGGCGGGGGACATGGACGGCAGGCCGTGCTCTTTAAATTATAATTCTTCATCTGGGCGCCGCTGACCTTGCAGTCAGAAGAGGCGCCGGACACCTCTGCGTTGATCGTCGAGCGTGCGCAGGCGCCTCATCGTGTGCCTGGTGTTAAATGCACTCCTTGTTGATGCCGACGTAAAGGGCACTGACGTTTTACAGGAAGGCTAGCGACCACGGATGCCTATCCTCCACTACTCGGAGTTTTGTCCACTGACGATCGAAATGCCCAGATCTCCTTGGAGTGTGACATTCATTCACATGATAACAAGTAGAAAAACACGTTCCTCAGAACACAGGATACGCTGCACAGGTGCGCGGTGAATACCACTAGATTGCAAGGGTGGTATAAATCGTTTGTGACAATTTTCGTGCGGCCCACAAATGTCAGAGCACCAATAAACATCAACCATTGAATCGCCGCAGTCCGAGCTAAAAAAGGTGGATGGCAAAATGACCACTAACAGGAAAAACAATACAACAAAAGAAGCTTGTGAAGAAAAACTCTGAACGGCTCACCTCAAACCTCCCGCTTAGTAAGATCTGGCGCCAATGGTGAATCAACCGGCCAACAACCACGTCCACTTACGCTGGTTTCAGAAAAGGCAAAGCGACCGCCACGGCAACGGCTCTGCTCGCCGTCCAGCGCAGTGCGGGCCGATCCTCCGCTGCGCCGCGTGCGTCTCCTCCCCGCCGACCCTCTGAACGCGGTATGAGGCCCCGAGCCCGCCGACCCTTTCCCGCAAAGGATGTCCCGCGCCGCGCATGCGCACTAGCATCACGCCACGTCACCGTTCCGGGAAAAGGCAGACGAGCCCGCCGATATAAGAGCCGCGTGGAGCCGACAGCGGCTATTCGTACGCGGGGACGCCTCGGGTGGGGTGCTCGCGTGGCGGTAAATCGCGAGGTGCGTACGCCGAATGCGTACGGAAGCGTTCCAGGGTCGTTAGTCACGAAACGCGTACGTACGCATGTGATGAATACCTTCAACTGGAGCCTGTCGCTTCATGACGACGCTCTGACGGGTCGATCTTTTCAGTAAATAAGTCACCGATTCGGACCGGTGATTATGTGGCTGGAATTCTGCAAAAAGAGTAATTGAGCAATAAACAGACCCTCATAAAATGACCCAAGCAAGGCCCAGACTTCCTACGGCGCCAGCGCGCAGCTCGTTCACATGCGGCGTCTGCTCAGGTCGGCTAACATTATACCATCGCGCCGGTTTCAAGTTAAGGCCCTGGCAGTTGATGACATTTGCCATTAAGTCTCGGGCAAGTGCGAGGCTCTGCTTCAACTTGTCCTGTAGCCTAGCCATTAATGAAAGGAGCGCAGCAAGCGGGAATGGCCACCTGCCCTCCGGAGGACACCTCCACGAGCAACGCCTCGAAAATGACCACGTCCCAAAACTATCAGACCGACGAATACTACGGAACGCCGCGTCAGAGATCAGCAGGCCTGACGAGCCCAACAGCCGTCCCCATCACGTGACCGTGATCAGGGCGCGTCGGCGTGGTCCTGCGGCCCCGAGACACATGACCGGCACTGTCCAGCGGACGGCGGCTGTGTGCCGCGCCCCTCGCCCCGCGCCGCTCAACGTCGAGTGAAGCCCAGGCGGCGGCCGCGGCGTGGCGCGTCTCCAGGCCGGCCGCGGCGCCACTGGCGGTCGATGGTCGACCGCCCCATCTGGGATGTGACTGCCGCCCCACGGCGTCGGGGGGGGGGGGGGGGGGGAGAGCAGGCGGCAGGGGGCTGTGCCGGTCGGAACCGGGGTACGAGAGACAGCGAGAGAGGATGAAGGCCGGCCCGCATAGCCGGGCGGATGAAGGGGAGGGGGCGCGCTGCTGCTGGCCTCACGCCGCTGGCTGCGCCTGGTCTGATGCGGCCGAGGGCCGCCCTGCCATCCCCGGCCAGCCTGGGTCGGTTCTGTTGACGTAGCGACCAGCGCTCGGCGAGTACGCAGCGGCGGAAATGCGTTCAGCTGGCAACTGGCGTGTCACGCCGCCACAAACAGCGCACTCAAGTTTGCTACTGTGGCGGAACCCGTTTTGACTGGGAGTTTTGACCAATGAACCTCACACACGTGTGCTGAAATTGATAAGAAATACCGGTCATTAAAAAGCTAAACCTCGCCAAAACATAAAACATGCGAATACAAATGCATGATACAATATTGCAATGACAAAAATAATACCATTTTAAAATTGAATGTAGTTTGCGAAAAATAGCACCGAATATGGCGGCTAATTGATTTCCCTAAGCATCTTTTCAAAAAGAAGACTGATCAAACGCGTGAAATTTTTAGCTACATAGCTGAATACGCAAATATCTCCGCAACAGATTTAAAAGCGCCAACCAGGGGCTTTACATCCTTTTCGGGGGCTCGCCAGGGGCTTCAATCCTTTAAAACCTTTCGGGGAAGCCTGCGTACCCCCCCCCCCCCCGCCCACGCTCCTCTGAGCCTCCTCGATACATATGATAAAAGAGGAAGTACTGTGCCAGATAAATCTAGAGCAATTATCATAACTGTTGACATGCTAGATAGTCCTAAACCTATCACTATTGGTATCACTTTAATTTTATATCGAATAGTATCCTTTCGATGCTCGCTTTATGTTTTGCCATGCTAACTCCTTACTCCGGACGCCAGTCTGCGAATATTTGGGCAAGTTTCTTTCAAATGATCATGCCTGGATGGGGATGAAGAACAATTGGCTGCAATATGCGGCAGCTTGTAAAAGTTCAGGCTAGCTCAGATAAACGATATAAGTAAGTTAATGCATATTTTCTAGAAGAGTGGCAAGTGTATTTGTCACAGAGTCGTGGCTGTGGTGGTTAAACGATACGATCGGTAACGGTGGTTATCTCCAGTGGTCCTTTTCTGATTCGCAGAGATGTTTCTGTGAATTACACCCTATTCTAAGCTTTTCGCGGAAAGGCAGCTTACAGTAGCTTGAAATGAAAAGTAATTCTTCCATGGGAAAAGCATTTCTAATCTACAAATTATTTTAAAGACCGACTAGTTTTACATCAAGGACTCAAATAGAAGTCGCCGAAATCCGAGAAGAAATCATGTTTTGTGGGTAGGTTAGGTCAATCGTTTCGGCTCAGCACCCAAACCGATTTGAGAAAATGACACTCGTCCATGCAGGTACCTAAGATACCTAAGGTTAAGAACCCAAGGCCAATCTGCGAGTGTTGACCGGCTTTCCACAAGATAACACAGGTAGATCGGGAAAAGAAAATGGACTGCAATATGCGCTAGCTCTTTAAAGCACTAGATCGCCGACCAAAAGTTAGCACACGTTTTCCTCAACAGCGACTATCGTGTATGGTACACAATCGTGATTGTGTTGCCAATCGACTGCCAATTTAAGGGCAAACCACGAGCAGCGACAGTGGTATTCATAAGACTTCCAAATCCGTGAAATTGTGGCTGAAAAATATGTGGCGGGTAAAACAATACTGCCATTTTAATTTTATGTTTAAGCACGCGCACAAATGAAACAATTCAGGCATTGGAGTATGCTCCATACATATTTCCATCAAAAACAGATCCATGACTTTCAAGAAGGTAACACGAGGTCCACTGGTCGTCCGCATGTCACGTGTTTTTTTTTTGGAATGTTTGACAGATCACGTTGGAAACAACTATTTCATACCGATGGGTGCAGCTTTGTACATACAGTTGACACATCAGATATTTTTACAAGGATTACTATTACCTTTCACAAGGGAACAGTGTTAACGAGTGATCTAAGACAGCGTTACTGATACTGCTGCTGCCATTCTGCTGTTTGCTGACGTTTACACCTTAGGCAACGTCCACAGTACAAACTTGTATTTCTAGTCATGTACGACAAAGTGTGTGTGCTTATTCTGATCAGTCTGCGTTGCCAAGTCCAAACTGACCTACACACAGGCGGCATGGTGTAACCCTCCGTGTAACATTTAGCAAAGCCGGTCACACGATTTCGAAAATAAGAAGTGGCTTACATGCTAAATAAAAACTAAAGTAATCGTGAAATTGCATCTGGTGCCATGACGACGAAAACCTCCACATCAGCCTGAGCAATTACTTTGTGACAAAACAAAATTGACGCCGTTCTGATGATCGATAACAGGTGTGAAGTTTCGGAGCGAGCTGGGCCACAGCCAAACTACATTCCCCTCTAGCGGACGCGCTGGGCGGGGTCGTTGACGACTTTTGCGCCGTGGCTGCCTACCTGGGCTGAATGTGTTCGCGGCCGCTGAGTTGGTCGATACGCTGAGTCATGACGCGTTCAGCTGGCTCTTTGGGCAGGGAGTCCACCGCGGCGCGACTCGTTACCTCGAACGCTGGAAGAGGGCTGATCGGTGTGCCTCGAGAGCCGATGGAGTGACCGCGAGAGTTGGTGACCGGGCTGAATGTTTTCTGGTTTCCGCGTTCCCACATCGACTGATGAAGGTCGGTCGTGAACATTTTGTGGGGTTCCTTGCCACCTGACGAAGGTCTTACAAGCGGACACGAAAGCTTATGCAGAGGGAAAAATATGTTGTGTGGTTGCCACGACTGAGCCAAAAAACGTGGCATTAACTATTAACCTATCTCTCTGTGAATCAATGTGTGAACATTTCTCGGTGTGAAAATTTCTCTGTTCAAACGGGTCATCGTCACTTCAAACGGGTCATCTAAGCTCTAAAAAAGAAGTTGAATTTTTAGCACAGAAAGATTTTAACCCCAAAAATTTTACCAAAAAATGTCTGGACATTCGCTTTCCCACAAACTATTTACTGAAACCAATGCAGACAAAATCAAGTTGCAAAATAAGGAGCAAAAGTAAACAACGTGCTTTACGACGAAGCAACAATGAAAATACAATGCAAGTATCTACAATATATAGCGAGTAAATACAACGAAAATTTCACAGGTCTTGTGAGGTAGGGAAGAGTTGAGTGAGTTGCATCATGTCCAAGTAATATCAGGGTGATTTATTCCCAATTTATGCGATGGATGTCGGTCTTGAGCCACTCAGCTGACGCACAGCAGCTACCTCTGCCCGTAAGTGTACTTCCGGCCGCATACGTGTATGCGTCTTGGGATGGGGACGACACATATGTGTTTTGCATATCATTGAAAAGCATAGCGATCAGAGGAAGTGTACATTTTTAATGTATCTTTATTCATGAATGGCATAATCCGGCCAATCTAAAAGTCATATTGAGAGGAGGGAAATGCATTTGCTGTATATAATGCGAAACATTGTTGAAAACATAGTTGACATCGTACAACAAACAAACATGGTTGAAAAATGGCAAAAGCGTGTCATGTCATAGCCACGACAAGTTACGAAATGCCACAGATAAAGCGAATTTGGTCTACATGTCGTAACGCATCTAGGCTACTTTTGATGTCACTTCGTATATGACAGCAAAAACATAAGCTTCAACTTTCCCCACCAAGCGATGCAATTTACCCAAGTTGGGCAAGCTAGTCTCACTTGAAAAGAGGCCATTCAAGGGTAATTCACAAAACAAAACCACGTAAGTTGTTAAGTGCGTGTTGTGAGGAACAGTATTCACGTAGATGAAACAGTAATGATAGCCTTATTCCTTAAAGAGAAACCAGGAGACTGGAGATACAGATGCGTTGATATTTCGGCAACACACCTTCATCGAACTAATAGCAGGTGTATGTTGTGCGGTTTACAGAAGA